AAAGAAAGAAAGAAAGAAAGAAAAAAAGAACCGCCGCACGAACGGTTTGTCTTATTCCCACGTGAAAGTCGCTCGATCGTTTTAATAAGTCGAGCAATCGTCTCGCTTATTAAGCAAAACGTTCTTCGTAGAGTAACGTTTGGAAAAAAGAAGCAAAAGAGAGAGAGAGAGAGAGAGAGCAATCTTCCTTCATCAACTGTCATTTCACGAACAACGTTACGTTACGTGTCTGTAACATCGGAGAAATGGAAACGCGATTCAAAGCAAGTAAAATCTTTATAGAATGTAAAACGACGCGACGACTGGAATGATTAACTGCCTCGTTAATGATTTAGCGAGCAAATGTTCGCCGATTCTCTTTGTCGCGCGATTCTTCTTCTGCCTAGTGATGCCGTGGCGTTTGCTTCTTTACTGCGACGGTGGTTGCCTGTCGGATCGATGGATTTCTTCGAGCAGCCCGGTTTTCGATTGAACAAGCGTCTTTTGTCCATCATCGGAGCCTGGCCGTTTCAGAGGCCTTTGCCAAAATTGTTGAGGCAAGCTGTCGTTTTGACTCCGATTTCCGTCCTCCTGCTAGCCGAGGTAATACTTTACAGTAATAATAAATATACGCGAACGAGCAAAGTGTCCTTCGATCATGTGGTTCGAGGCTTCGAACGTTTTCATGGAAATTGCACATGGAACAAGCTTGAAAATTCATTTCGAACAGAGTGATTCACATAATCGTAACGTAATCGACAGAGATCCTTCCCTTTATTTTATTCGGGTGAGAAAGAATCATATCTCAAGGAGGGAAAGCACGAACGAGACGAAGATGGGGACAGGCGATCTGAACGAATAGAATTAAAATGCACCGTCGTGATCAGATTATTGATCGACGATTCGTTTTGATCAAGAAATTCCATGCACATTCCATGCCAAATCGTCGCAAAAAACGCTACTTCGCTAGGCGACACTTGACTAATGTTTTTATATACATTTGAAAAACCAAACTCAACTGAGAGTCGACTGTATCATATTTTTTTATACGTTGGCCATTGTTTCACCTTTTTCCTCCAAACGTACAGAAAACTCCACCAGTCTGATGGAAACACAGAATTGAAAATGACAGATTGGAGGTGAGGTGAGAGAAGGATTTTCAGGTGTGTCTGTCTGGGGTGTGTAATTCTGGATTTTTGTGCAAGTGTAGTGAACGTCATCCGTTAATCGTTGGAGAAGCGTCGAAGAAGAAACTGCTTGGCCTTCTCAACTAGCTTCTTGCTGTTTGCTAATCGAGGTAAAAGGCATACTTACTAAAAGGTATCTATACTCGTTTGACACTCGGTGAGCAAGAGCATGTTGCAATACGCTAGCTAGCGCACATTATAAACGTTCTTTTCGCACATTTCCTGCATGTTGCGAAATGGTATTCGCCACCCAAGCAACTTTCGAATATATTTACAAGCCCCAACAGCTTCTAATGAAATTTATAACGATATAACGTTGCGTCCAAATAAATTAGAAATTATCTAGAAATTGTGCGAATAGAAGAAGAAGAAGAAAAATATACAGAGAAATAATAATAAAATAAAAGACTGCGTGTAAAAAGAAAGGTAAAGTTTACTAGGAAACTTTAGGAAAAGAGACGTTCCACGAAGAAACGTGATCGTTATATTTCTAACAAAAATGTTTGATACTTGAATGATCGAGTATCATTGTTGTAAAATAGTATAATAAATGCACTGGACAATTTTTTATGAAATTGGAGTTACTCGTAATCGTAACGTTTAATTTTTTAATCCATCAGCTTTTTGAAAAATCGTCTCTACATTTTCACACGTTAATATATATCCTCGGGTTAAATTGAAAGACGAGTTTCAACGATTGACCACCTTTGTCGTAGAAATTTTTCGAATAATTTATTATTTCTCGTTATTTCTCGATCCTACGTTTCGTGCTTGCAAGACGAAATTTCCATCGTTGTTCAAGTACGTACAACTCTTGCTAATCGAGATCGAAATGTTGAAACAACGAGGGACAAAATGTGTTGCAATGCCAGAGCATATACGGATGCAATTCGCAGTATATCAAACTATCTCTTTCATCTCTTTTATCTCTGATAAAAATAAACAAGATACGTTTGTATCTAAAAAAAAAAGAGAATTGAAATACATATTGCGTTACATGTGCGTGACGATGGATTGTATAGAAAAGGAACTAGCGTATCGCACTATACGTACAATCGTATTCTACCTATGATGCCTAACATAACGAAAGGATTGAAAATTAAAACAAAAGTTGACACAATTTAAAAAGAGTTGCAACTACTAAGAAAACAACGACAGACTTTTTTAATCTCTTGCCTCTGATAATTTAAATTGATAAATAATGGTTATAAATTACGATTGGGTTAGGTCTAGGTTAAGTTAGGTTAGATTTAGATTAGCTATCATACCAATCTCGTCATATTAAAGTCTCTAGGATTTCGTTTGACTCGATCAATACCAACTACTACTTGTATATTTACAGATTTTATATATATATATATATGCATTTCGAGCAATTGAGTCACGTTTTTATACTGTCGTGTGTTTTTTAATAATTTCCTCGCAACTGCCCATAGCATAGTTAACGTTGCGAAACGTGCGCGTCATTTTTGTGATTTTCCTGGCGAGCGAATTTCGGCGCGGTAAATATAAATTGTGCCGCAATTCAACGCGGTAGCTGAATCCACGAACAAAGTAATTTTAATAATAACAAACAAATTTATTAATTAACCGTCGTGATTATTAATCGTCGTTGATAACTGTTTCGTTATATGTACAATTTGTCACCACGGTTTATTCTCCATTGGATATCAATTAAACGATACATCTAATTGCTCCTCGCAATTTAATTCGCAATAAATTTATAGTCTTGGAGTTGAAATTCTTAATTCATCGAGTACTTGTGCTTCAAATTATTTTCAAATTATTAATTCTCTGCATTCTCACTAGTTTAACGTTTCAAATGGACGCGCAACACTGTACCACAACTAATCGTTGTCATTGTTATATTTTCATCTATTTAAGTTGAGCTCATTTTTTTAACTACTTTCTCCGTTTGTTATATGCATTTTTTACTACACACACACACACACACACACACAAGTGTGCATTCCAAGTACATGCAATATATATTCCGTAAATTTTTACTTGTATACGAATCGATATTTGCTCAAAGTACGTTCAATGAAAAAAGGAAAAGGAAGATTTTATACGAGATGATTATACGAGATTTTGCTTCAAAGTAGCGCATAATTTCGAAGCGAGTCAAGTTACGAGCATAGAAACATCATTCAAGGTACAATGTCGTGTCACGTCGCAAATTTCATAAAGCATCTCTAGCAAAGAGTCATAAAGCATTCTCAGATGTTTAATCAACGTAATCAACGCTGTCGACCAGGGAGTACATTTTTTGCAAGACATATATCGTGTCGACGTGTCAGGCTGTGCGCAATGAAATTACACGCGTGTCATTGCAATTATATACCGACTTGTAAAATCTGGAAATTTATACTAAATTAAAATATATATACTAGCTTTGCTGTTACCGATGTCTTGGTAGTTTCTCACAAAGGCATTTCGACGAAACAAACATGATACGTGATTGAACAAATAACAAAATGTAAATTGCAATCAATTGAGAAAGCTAAAGCAAAATTACAACTTTTCTACATTAATTCTATATGAATTTGCAAAATGTTCCAATCTTTGTGTGTGTTTTTAAAATAATCCTTACGATTCGAAAGAGTCGTAAGTACTGTAATTGTAAGTACGCAATATTTAACGAATAATTGAACGAATCAAATGTTACCGTATCGTCTCTTCAATGATGAGACAAATAAGTATCTCGGCAATAATTGAATTCAACACGAGCGATTCGAGCGATTGATTTTAAATGACTGTGATGAAAATGAAAATGTCGAAATCTGCGATTAGGAGAACTACTAGGATATTGGAAATATTCCTTTTATCGAAAGCCACTATTGTCCCGTCTATTTTTATCGATTCTTCGAACCAAAATTTTACGAGTGTTGGAGGACCAGTTTCCCCAGTAATACAATAAAATAACTCGCGTGCCAACGTCATCTCGATATTTCGATTTTTCCTACAAAAATGTGCAAATGTGCCAGTTCGAAATGAAACTCGCGTTTATCAAAATAGGTATTTCTTACTTTCTGACGTACGAACGAGCGAAACTCTTGAGAAACTGAATATTTGAAGTATATGCAAATGATGCACGAGTAAATTGTCCAAAAGATACATCTACTTTAACGGATGAATAGAAATTTTGCCAATGGAATTTTGGAGTTTTCCTAATCCTTGGGATGCTTGGTTTCCAAGATGACTAGGCTATTTCGCACCACTATTATTTCCGTTATCATTTTGTTATCATCATTTCATGTATGAGCAATCTGTTTCTGTTTCCCGAGTCAGAAAGACTCCTCGGAAAGAGTACTCGATGTAAGTAC